CTGCCTAGTAAATGGGAATAAATAGCCCAAAGTCTTAGGAAAAGTGGGGGAAATATCAAAAGAAAATTGGCAAGATTTTTAGCACAAAACAGTTAAATGCTTGGAGAATTGAAGACTAAAAAACAAACGTCAAATAAATGCACAAGAAGTTAATATATATGTTCATTAATGATGAACAAAGTTACAAAGGGAAAATCAAATTAAAAAAGAAAAAGGCATCATATGTCTTAATTACAGTCCACCCCATATTGAACGAATTCGTTCCCTAAGTTTTTCCCAATCCTCGTTCTGCCGTGAGGAAGTGATGTTTAATTCGACTACGACATCATCATCAACTTCCAACTTCTTGTACTGCTCAACCAAGGACTTAGTTCGCTCAATTCCCTGGGAGGCGTTGCGCTTTTTAGCAGCCATTCTCGCCTTGCAGTCATCCATTTTGGCTTGAAGTTCCTTCATCTGAGCAGCCAAATTAACCATCAAAGAGTTTTCAATCATGACTTCGGAAGAGATCTCTTTTAACTCATCCTCAGCCTTGTTGATCTCCAGACGCAGAGACTCTTTTTCAGATACGGCGCGAAGATATTGAGTACTTTTGGCCTTTAGTTCAGCATTCTTGGCCAACAAGGAAAGGACTTCAGAGTGGATAACCTTCAACGTCGCTTTAAAATCGGCAGAAAGATTGAGTGACAGAAGTGTCAGTGCTTGCTCCAACTTCGCATTCAAATGCTCAAGTTTATCCTTGTGTCTGGCAGCACTAGCCCTTCCAATGTCCATATCCATGAAGGACACGTACTCAAATATCGACTGCTTGAGGAACTTCAAATCTTCCTCTGAAGAAGCAGCAGGACGGTCAGATGGAGCAGGGCGAGACGTCTTGACTTGCCCCCAGGAAGTGAACAAGTCTTGGATAGAACGCACAATCTTGTCAGCATCCTGCAAAGAAAATTGTCAATACTAAAGATTCTCACTACAACGAACAAGATAGAAATAAAAGTGAAGTAAAGATTACCTCATCAACAATTGTGGAAGATGGCATGTTCTCAGCCAAGTCTGCCACCAACGACTCCTCCATTCGTGAGAACTTCCCCTTGTCTGAGCGAGAAGATGTTGCCACAACGGGGCAGACTCATAGGAGTATCTGTAAAACTCAAGAGCAACAAATCAGAAACCAACAGCACAAGCAAAGGTAAGGCATTAAAAAACTGAATTACCTTCTACTTCGATATTTGGGGAGTTGATGCCCTGGGAAGAAGGTGGCTCATCCATAGGTTGTGATGAGGACTCTGGGACTGAAGATGTCTCTATCAGCGTAGTCCCCTCATCAATCGATTTGGATGAAGCAGCCTCAGCGGAGGATGATGGAGCAGGAGCTGTCGATGCCGAAGCCTTTGAAGGAGAGGCTGAGCTTTTCTGAGAAGTCCAAAAGATCATCAGCACACAGAAAAGTTTCAAGTATGGAAAAGTATGCTTGTGAGTAAACCAATTTAATTACCTTCCTCCTGACGATAAGAGGGGTATCATCATCATCATCATCAACATCATCCTCTAGAATGGGAGATGCTGAGGCTGGCCGTTTGCGGCTTGGGGCACTCTTCGCTGTAGTAGGCTTGGCAGGGAGAGAAGAAGATGGACAAGCAGACTGTTTAGCGCAACGAGGAGGAGGACTCCGAATGGACAAATGAGTGACTAAAACAGGAGGAGGGGAAGAAATGCTCGACTGGTCTAGTGAATGAAAGGTACAATTGACATCAGTCGTAAATAATCTGCGCTTCACTGACGGCCAGAGCTGTTCAAAAAGAGGATGAATTGCGTGGCTAGAATTGAAGGGGACTAATGAGAAATAGCTGGTTAAAAGAAGATTGCGAGAATTTATAGCCTCTGCCTCCGCCTTATTAATAGTATGAAAACGGTCAATTAAGTTCCTTGAATAGCAAGGAGGAACAGGCCAAGTTTGGCCGAAACCAAGCTGGCGAGCAAAAAATTGGGGAGTATAAATTTCTACCCCTGCCTTGGCATAGGTCCCAGTCAAAATATCATGAAATAGCTCCCTCCCGATTAAAAACTGGATCCAAATGAGCAGGGAGGTGCTCGCGCTGTCTATAGTGGAGGAGGGATGTACATAGTTTGGAGTCAAAAAAGGAGGAAAAGGAAAAAAGGAAGAAATTGAATCCAAAGAATAAAAGAATGAAAAAATGTTTCTTCTGGACATATTTACAGGAGCCAAGGGCTCCATGGCTAGCCCATAACAGCTAGCAGAGGCGCGAGAAATTGATGGAGCACCAGGTAATGTGAAATAGGATCTCAACCACAGTTGAGTGAACCAAAGAGGTCCACTGTCAGTGGGAGATGCACCATTCTTCAATTGAGTTTGAAGAGAGGCCATGCCTCTATAAAGGGCAGCCAAAAAGAAAGAATATAAATTCAAAGGTCTGCCACACGCCAATTCGTGCGCTATAGGTAAATAACTCAAGGAGGGCTTTATGCTTGGCACACACAAAACATATTTACAAAGTCAAACTAGAAGAAAGGCCACTTGCTCAGTATGGGAAAGCTCAGTGCTCGAATGATTGTAAAGGGTTTGCAGGCTTGAATAAGATTCGGTGTAGTTTTTACCAAACTTTGGGGCGCCACTAGAAACCAAGATACCAGGAAAAATGGTATCGCCCAAAGGTGGTAGATTCACCAGCGTCCCAACATCCCTTAAAGTAATAGACATGGGGTCAAGAGAGAAAATAAAGGTATTATACTCGGAAGACCAAAAACTCAAAGCAATCGAAAAAAGTGCTGAATCAAAAGTAGGGAGGCGAATAGAGATTTCTAACAAATCAGAAATCCTAGCGTTATCAAAAAGTGCCTTAGTAGGATCATGACCCACAAGACGAGCATGCCACCTACGGAAAGCTACATCAGATTTAGGCCAAGTGCTAATACCTCTTTCGCGAAGTGGCCCCAGCGGCAGAGAGTTTAGAAATTGAGGGCCTTGAATACAAGGAAACAGCTGACCCACCGCCGCCTGTTCAACTGCCTCTGCATTGTTGAAAAAAGGACCTAAGTAGAACTCATTGCGTTCAACATCGGCGGGCGCGAAAAAACTCGGAGTTATGTATGGACGACTCAGAAGTTTCTGAAAGTCATCAAAACTAAAGGAGTCGCTAGCTTGAGATTGTGAAGTAGCCATTTGAGATGGAACGAAGTTTTTCAGGGTTACGTAGCAGGGAAGCAAAAGATGAACAGTAAATCGTGAGAGAGACGTGAAAAATTTGAGGTTTGATTTAATGGTGCAGTGAAATGACGTGTTTGGGGGTTATAAGGGTTTGCAAAACGACGCACCTTTTCAAGTTATGGAAGAAAACAATGATTGAAACTCTTGAGAATTTCGAATGTTGCTGGAAACACAAAGTGAATATGGCAAAATTTAATAATTATTATTAATTCTGTCATATTGGGGGGTAATTGTTGACACATAAAAATTCAACCCAAATCGAACGGCCCAAGGAATGAAGCCCGATTGGAAAATCCCCAAATCAGATAGCTCAAAGAACGAAGTCCAATCAAACAATTCAAGATGAAGGCCCAAATGGGGAGGCTCAAGAACGCGGTAACGCCATCGTCCAAGTTTGCAAGTCGCCAAGAATCTGAGCGAATGGAGTGCCATACAGTCGCTCAGAGCTGTTACTCTATTCTCGCTCAAACCTTCAAGTCGCCCAAGGTCTTAACAAATATAAAGCGTTGTGGTTATCAAGTAGTGCAGTTATCAAAGCAGTTATTAAAGCAGCCCTATCACATTCCACGATTCAATGAATTCAATCGAAAGCGGTTGAACGACGAAGAGTAATGGCAGCAATTAAAAAAGGCAGTTTTCATGACAAGTTGGCCATTATGAGGAAAGTGGGCAGTTGTAGAACGATTAAACAGTTTTTAGACGATTGATCACAAAGAGATTATCCATGAAGTATAAAAGGGAGAAAAGACATAGAGCAAAGGATCGAATAAAAAACTCTCGAACAGAGAACATGTAATTTTAATTTCCTTAGTTTAAGATTTAAACACTTTTTTCAGTAACTCGTGTGCTTGCGCCCCTTGGAGGCACTTTGTTTTCGATTTCCAATTGTAAAGTCATCGCCAATAAAAGAACACCCCTTTTTGAGACTTTGTCTCAAGAGGTTTGTCTCTTATACAATCGTCTGATCCCTTTTAATTGTTAGCGACTAATCCGCGCGAAACATTTAGTTAATTTTTCGTTAGCCCAAAATCAGCCCACTATGAAAAAAAGATGGTCGAACTGTCCATACGTCAAAAAATGACGAGCCAAGCCCACGAGCAATTCAACCCGTTTAGAATCATAACAATGAGATTACACTCAAATTCGTGACATGGGTCAGCCTGTATAAATGGATTGGTCCAATCTTTCATAACAAATGGGAAAAATTGCAAAGAACTCATAAAATACACCGCTATTACAAAAGATTAATCTACATTCCTAACTAATATAAACCTTTCAAGAACGTCGCAGGCCGTTACTTGAAAATCAGCCATATCTTACATTCCCACGTTGATTAGTAAAACCTGATCATCAGCTCTCAAACATCCTTAATTCATCTGCAATCCATTGAATTTTCTGGACAAGCCACGTTGGTTCTTCTTCAAGTGTAATTCTGCACAACGTAAGCTGTTGGATTGCTCTCCAGTCCCAAATTTGCGCAGAAAAGATATTATTATTCTGGATCTCCTCGGTAACAAGAAAGAAACTCGATGTATAATTATCTTCATAACTGATCCTCATAATTCTTGGGCATCCAGGTCAGGCTTCGATGGATATTCAAGACCGTGAAGAGCAGGTATCCACCGCAAATCTTCTTCCGAGTAAGCTGGGATAAACCAGTACCTCTTGTCCGTTCCAAATACCTATACAGAACAGCAGATCTTGTAGGGGATGCATAAATCGAATACCACAAACTAGAAAGGTGGCAAAAGTGAAAAATTAGATTTTTCTGCAGTTTCGATTAGTGGGTTTTGCAAGGAAACAACAAACTACATATGAAACAATTTACTAATGAGCGAAGGAAGAGAGCCAATGAATTTTAGAGGATGTAGTTCCAGAAAGAGCAAATATCAAAATTGTGCAGCACACACCTCAAGTCCTGGTAACTTGGGAGTTTTTATTAAAAACAAGCAAGTTCTAGAGTTTTTTGTCAAGGCATTTGGCTATCAAAAGAAGCAGCTATCCAGTATGCAGGATTTGTCCTGGACAGGACTAGAATAGTGAAACTTGCTCCAGTCAATATAAAATTACTTTGGCCTTTACTGGAAGTGAAATCGTCGCGAGGAAGACATAAAATAATTGCAAAGATATGTCAGAATCAAAGACGTAATTTCACTTAAAAAGATGAAAAAGAAAGAAATGATGGATGAAATCCAAAAGTGATCCAACCTGTTCAAAGTTCCTTTTCCTTCCAAGATCATAACGCCATCTAGGAGTAGTCTTCTTCTCGTATGCCTGAATACAAGCCAATGAAAACATCAGTCTAATCTCCATATTGGCCTCAGTTAGAATATATCATCGTAGAAGAAGAAAATAGCTTTGACAGGATCAATCAAATCCAAATACTTCGGTTCAACCTCTCCCCTTCTCCCCATCTACTAGAACATTACCCATTGAACAATTTTCTCTATCTATTTTGAATGTTTTTAAGTATATTAAGGGAGCAAAAGAGAAGGGAATTGCAATGCAGTGTTATATCATAAAATTTGAATCTATGTACGCCCGGTGCACATAATAGCACTGAACTCAACAGTGGAAATCAAAGAATCCCAACGATTTTAAACAGAAATTTGGACGTCCAGGGCTGTTCCTTCAGGGTAACTAATATTATGCTTACATAGTTAAGAGGACATTTCTCATCGAAGTTAAACTACAGAAACAAGGATTAGCACAATACCTCAATGGTTGTGGTATTTGCTGCCACTAATGATATGTGCATAATCAGAATTCCCAAAACGCTCAAAGAAAATGCTAAGTTTAATACTGCAAAACCAAAAAAATTTGTGAGTAAAACAATAAAAGCCACGAGCTGCGGCTGGAGCAAAATAAGCATTTGGGAAAGGGATATTTGACCTTACCGAAGGCTAGAAAAGTGGTTGCAAGTGTTCCTGGAGTCCCAGGTACATCATCATCAGTGAAGAATAAAATAAAATGTGGCAGCAATGATAAAGTAACAAGACTTGTTTCAAGGAATGTATAGAACTGAACAAAGAAAGAAAGCCATCAGTTATCTAACATCAACATATTTCAATCACCAAGTAATTAAAAAATTTCCTAGGATCTGCAGGTCACAACGCAGCATAGTCATGGGGGTAAAAAACCTATATTATTCATTTTAAATTGTGATATCATACCAGGAAGAGAAGGAAATACTTGTAGTTCAATGCCCCAACACAATTGACTACCCATACACAATGATGATCCATTTTCAGCACACACTTCCCACCTAGTCAAAAAATTCATTCATCTTAAAAAATTATACAATGCTGTAATTTCTAGGAAGTGCTATGTAAGAAGCAACTCACAAACAGAACAATGATGACACCGAGGTGGTTTTAGCTGGTTGCACTTTCTACAAAATCGGATTCTTCCGTTCTCCACGTCTGCCGAAAATTCTGTTGATGTCAATTGGTCGGTATCTCCTTTTTCTTCATCCCCTTTTGGCCTCCAATTTGGAGGAACAATACCCGGCTCCGTAAAAACAACAGAAAAATAACTCCACAATAGCATGGCCAACTGCATAACCATTATAATGACTAATTATTCAGCTTCATTAGAATCATTACATGTTATATTTGAAATATCATCATGGCATTTCCCATAATTATACATCTAAAATAAAATTCACATACAACCAACAATTCTTTTCGAAAACAAACCACTGGGTGTTTTAGAGCTAGAATGATCAAATTGGAATCCCACCATTCATTTACAGTGGCATTTTTGGCTAGAAGATTGTTAAACCTATAAATTACTTGACATGATTAGACGGAGGGGATGCCATATATGTTGACGTGACATCGACTATCCAATTAATTGGACCTATTTAATTAAATAATTGCATCTTGGGTTTGAACTTGGATCCATTTCATATATTATAGGTGATATCACTTCACAATCAAGTTAAGTAATCTAACCCTATCGTGCTATTGACTTGACCGTCAGAGTGCAAACGATCGTTGAACCTTTTTTCTTGACCGACGATCTTTGCCTCTTAACGGGTGTTCCAATGTTAAGATGGTGCCTACATGGAGGAGAGGTGACCGGGATTCTCTTGGCTATTGTTTAAGGTCAACAGAGATCCCAATGAACTTTACTATATTCCATTTCGTCACATTATTTTTGCTGTTTTGAATTACAACAGACCAATCAAATGATCAATCCTATCTATCAGACACTACACTCGACCAAACATTGAGTAAAAATCACCTAACCATTGAGATCAAGCTAATAAAATTTACAAAATTATTCCTGAAAAACACACAAAACCATGAAAAAAAAAAACATCTGACATTCCGAAATTGCCCAAGTAATTCACTGAAACTTACCAGACAGTGGAACAAGATCAAGACGGCCAAAGAAAGTAATGTCTCGGGCTCGCCGGCTTCGAGGCCCGGCCAATAATTGTTTATAACCACCGCATAATAAGTGACACCGACAACGCCAAGAACCAGTAATATCATAATCGACCCGAGCCCCCTCAGGGATGTGCAGAATTTGAATACATTCCACGCCATCACGGCCCCAGATTTATGATTGATATTAACGATCAATTACAACAATAAAATATCCCAAAAAATTACAGTTTCTTTTTTCCTTTCGTTTGAATTTAATTTCCTATATGTTGAATAAGTAGTTAGGTTTTATGGATTCCCTGCAGGGAGTAGGACTCCGGTGAAATTCTTGGGCGAAAACAAAGAAAAATTTCAATAAATAACAGTAAATAAATGTTTGTCAATTCCCGTGGGCTTGCCTTTAATGTTTTTCATATTCTCAATTTAATATTTTTCTATTAGATTGAAGAATTAGTCAATTTACGCTAGTTTTTCTACCAACAACTGCAACTTGAAGGCTGCTTCTTTCTTTCTTTCTTTCTTTGGTCGATATCTAGAAGGTCTACTTTAATTAATAATTTTTTTTTTTAATGATACATATAGATTCTTCTTTGCTACTTTCAAAGTCACAAATATTTTTATACTAGAATATTTATAACATTAAACTTTCCATTTAGGATTCCGTAGGTAGGCTCACATTAATACAACAAAATGGATTTTCATTAAAAAAAAAAAAAAAAATTTGAAAAGTTACGGTACCACTTGAGGGTTTTTTTAACCAATTTATTTTGACTTAATGTGCGAAATTGTACAATTGAAAGCGACAAGTCATTCTTTAATGGTTTCTAAATGGTTAATCGAACAAGTCAAATTATCCTATGTTAAGCTGCCACAATTTGTAATATGAAAGCGGTAAAGAACATATGAATTTGTTGACCCAACTATATAAAAATTCAGGGATCAAGCCTACATTAACTATAAACAATATGAACTTACCATATGATTGTCTATCTCATGTTAATCACCAAGAATGCTTTATTCTTGTACTTTTCCTACGCTTCTGGTCCAACCACCCTAAATCTCCAACAGTCTCTGAATGTTTTTGAGAAAGTATTGTGTATAAGAAGTGGGTGTCTTGGATTATATGAATTTGATGTTTTTCTCAAAGTTGTGGTTGAATGAACTCAAGAATCAAAAGATTAGTGATAAGTGTGCTTTTGCACACTTATTTATGTCACAAATATGACTTAATCACGAGCAAAATAATTAAATTGTGATTTAATCTCATTACATTTGTGAATTGTAGGGAACACCGATGAACATGGTGAAATTTAGGAGACAAGACGCAAAAAAAGATTAAAATGACGCAAAGTGAAAGTTCAGGGACCAAGGTGCAATTATCCAAAAGTTGACCCGATGAACAAATCGAGAAATTGATTAAGCCAAATGTCAATTGATGATATCTTGGGATGATGGAATGTAAAAAATGAAGAAAAAATGCCAAGAAGTGAAGAATTCAAGTAGAAGGACCAAAATAAACTTCCTCTACAGTTGGTAGCACTACCCTCTATGCGGCCGCATAGAGGCAAACCGAAAACAAAAGGGCACAAAACTTTTACTCTATGCGACCGCATAGAGATCGCATAGAGCATTTTTATGCTAAATCTGTAGTTTCCTTATTTCGCCGAAACTCTTATGGAAACAATCTTTTTAGGATTCTACATAAACAAAAACTCGAGCAGAATGAGGGGGACGCCGTTTTTACAAGAGAAAGGAAGATTTTGAAGAAGAAAACGAGGAGAAAACAAGAGGAAAACATCGCTCCAAGTAAAGATTCGATTGAAACTTGATTCAGGTGATGACGTTTCTTCAAGTATTTTTATATTTTCTTCTTTTTAGCATGTTAGGCTAGATTTTCATTGCTAGGAGATCGATGAACCTTGTAATACTACATTTGATTTTTGATTTAGATATTTGACATATTTAAAACGCATGTTCTGGAATTGAATGATTTACTACGTTTTTATTTCTATATTATTATTGTGCACGTAATTATATGATTGTGGTGGCTTGTTTTATGCAATCGAAAGAAGGAAAATAGGCTCGACATAGTATAAATCATCACAAGGGGATAGAAATATAACTCCATGCCTTGTGTGAATTGTTGGATATTCATGAAATCATAATGCATTCCGGTATGTTAGTATTCGTCATAGAGATATAGTCGAATCACATATTGGGGTAGATTTGACATTGCTCGAGAGAGATTGCTAAATTAAAATAGGAATATTGATTCATTTTTTGTGGGATTGTGTGTCAAATTTGCACGATTAAAAATTGAATGGGTATTGCTTGGGGATTCGAGATCCTAGAGCGTTAGTACACTCATTAATTTCATAAATTCTAGTAGATTGTGTCCAAGTCATTTTGCATTTAATATAATTCTCTTATCCATAATTGCATCATAGTTTATATCTTCTTTAGTTAAATCACAATACATCAATTTTACTTTCGTGTTTCGGTTAAGGTCATAATAGTTTGATTTTAACTAATTCAATCTTTGTGGGACCGATACTTGGATTCATAGTCTATTTTACTACTTGTTAACGAACCGTAGGCTTGCGGTGGATTTTAAATCGAAACAAATAATTTCGTGAACAATTAATCTAAGGCTTGAATGTGTTCTTGAATCTTTGAATGATAATATTTAAAAGAATTATAATGAACAAACACTACAAAATTCGTGTTAAGGACTGGGTATATATAACAAAAGGTCTTTAGATAGCATGTGCCTATTAAAACTCTTGAAAAATGAGAACTAGGATTGTACGCATAACATCGTCACTCGAGCAAGACTTGGGCGATAGTGTTTCTATTTTTTCCACCCGAGCATTAGATGGGCGATAGGCTACATAGATCCGACGACTCTTTCCTCCTTGTTCCAAACTCGAATCGCACTTATTTCATCTATACAACATTTTAGTTGACTCCTTAACTTTTACAACTTTTTATATTAATTCTTTTGTCTAAAGAATTGCTAATACAATAAAATCCTAACAACAATAAAACTATTGGATGTAAATATATATTTTCTTTAAGTTGTAGTTTGATAAGAATCCAGGACACGTACTTCAACTTCACGTACAAATATAATAAAAGATAGTGGACTATTTCTAATGTCATAGGAAGGGTCCGTTGCCTTTATTACCTGTATACAACAATTGAAAGAGGAATTCAGCGCATATGAGACCTATGCTGAAACTTATGTGGTGGTGGAGACGATTTAGGGATGGAAAGGGTGGTGTTAAACTTTGACCCAAATTTGATTGGGTATTTGTGGATTTGTTAGATTGATATTTAAAGATATCAAAATATGGAACGAGGAAAAGTCGTCGCCAGCTGTAGCAAGGCGGACCCAAAAGGGGTCCTGCAGGTCAAGTGACCCCCCAAATTTTGAAATTATTATTATTTTTATTAATTTTTTTTTTTGGATAAATAATGTTTGGTATCGATTGAAATCTAAATTTTAATCTAAATCAAAATTAATAATTAATTTTAATAACATATTTTCATGAAATCTTTAACTTTTATCAAAATTTACTAAAAATTTGTTTTTTAATCCCCACCAAAAAAGGGCAAAATCACAATAAATTTAATTTTTTTTTTGCTTTTCTCTTACTCTATTTTACTCTCCTTCACACACATTTTCAAAAACCTTAACTTTTCTAATTTTTTAAAATTTGTTTAAAATTTTTCTACAAATCATTACATGTACTACAACTACTACAAATTTTTACTTTTCAATTAATTAGAATTTAAATTTGCATTTTCTCCTATTCTATTTGTGTATATAGAATGTGTGTGAACTGATTATATCCAATTTAACTTAAATTTAACTAATTTCATTTATTTGATCGAATATTGGTTACATGTTTTTTCTTTCGGTCACTTGAATTGATTAAAGTATTAAATATACTATAAATTTTTTAAGCATAAATATGAATTTTCTTGTGATTAGTAAAATATTAATAAAATAATTGTTCGAAATCAAAATGATGAAAATTATGAACAAAAATATTAATGAAGAAATGTTTTTAAAATATAAATCTGCATTTTCTGGGATCAAGTATGTTGACGTCGAAATTTGCAAGGCTAGCCAACTTTAAGAAAAAGAGCAATCTATTGCTAAATCAGATTATGAAATATATAGAGAAGATGTGATCGAATTATGATATTTTTTCTTGTCCGTCCCTTTTACAAAACTTCTACTCCATTATTTATACATGGCTTTAGCTAAAATTATATCAAATCAGTCAAATTAGCTACAATGTCAATCTGAGAACTCGGGTCGCCGAATTCTCCCGTGATTGGTTGACGAGGCCGGTGACCATGTGTCAATGTTTTCTTTAGGTAATGATGACCTACAAATGACTTGAGATTCTGGGCTTTGGATTGGTGGTTTTAGGGCGGTGGTGATGTCACACCTGACAAGTGTATTGATTTGAGAGGTTGGTGTGATAAGGGATAATCATGATGTTTTCAGAGGTTACGGCGAGTCGAATCCGAGTTGCGGAAGATCCGAACTCACACCTGATAGAGATGGGCCCCAAGACAAATCTCATGAGATCGGAGTTCGGTGGTCAACAAAGTATAAATCATTTAAAAATCAATAACAAGGTATTCGATTTGTACAGAGTTTGATTGGACCTTCCTAACTACAAATTCCTGCATCCGCCCCTAAGCTGCAAGATTGCTTCCTGATCGAGCTCGAAAAATAGGAAGCTGAAGCCCGTCTGGCTTTGTGATAGTTGCTCGGCTCTAACTTTTCGTGTCAACTGTAGTAATATCACAATCCCAACAATATACATAAAATGAGTTTTCATGAGAATTGCTTCTATGGAATGGATTCCATGGATAACTTCACATGTATTTATTGAACAATTTGATCTCAATCAACTACTACCAACTTCTCACGTCTCCACATTTAAACACGTCGATGACCATCTAAGAGGGTAGCCCTCAGTTAAAACCAAAGGAAACACATGAACAATATATGTACATGACAACATCCATCCCCATGTACAACCAAGAAAACCCTTATCTCATTCTTTCTTCTTACAAAGAAGAAATGATCTTGGCTAACTAATAGAGTGGATAAGGCCACCTCTACCTTTTCGACAGTCGTTTCCACAAACTGTTTTGTTGTTTTACATACCCTAATGAAAGGAAAAGACTACACAAAACACTTCACTTTCAAAGTTGGCGTGAAGACTTCGACCATTTTGGACGCCAACAAATTTGTACTGTCCTATGCAGCTATGCTCTTAGTTTGACAATTTCACTTAAAAGAGAAAATAAAAATAAAAATAAATGAACTTCTCAATTAATCTAAGCTATATATAGATACTCAATACTTGTATATGAGCCCTTCCGCTAAATGGGAAATTGACATTAGTATTACAAATTTAAAATAGGATGATTCAATCCCTTTTTTCCGTGGACTTACGATTCAGCAACATTTCTTAAATGGAATAATTTGTTTACACTTAAAAAAGATAAAATTTATTACAACTATACATCTTATTATAATTATCTAACTTTTATCATATTCACAATAGGATTGTCCTACATCAGATGACGTGGGGAGATGAAGGGTAATTGGTGACCATTAAAAATTGGGTAATTGTGATCAGTTAATTCGATAATTTGTGACCCAAAAATAAGTTATAACATATTAATTTAATAATTTGTAATCGATAAATAAGTTGTGATCAAATAATTTGATAATTTGTGATCCAAAAATAAGTAGTGACCAATTAATTTAATAACTAAATAAGTCGTGACATATTAAAATGTGTGATTTGTAATTGCGAGCCTCATTTTTTGTCTTTGTTAATGTGGCGCTTTGTAATTGTGACTTGTACGTAACTGTGACCATAAATTGTATGTTATTGTGATATTAATTTATTTAATTATCTTTTTAATTAATACCACCTAATTTTTGAAAAAAATTCACAAGTTTGTCAAGTTTGAAAGTGTATCTCTAAATGTTAGTACTTATGTATTTTTCTATATAAGTTATTTATAACAAAACCATTTGGCCTTCACTCATGGAAAGTCTTAAAATCAATTTTGCCATTAAGGAATTGAAACAATAAAAATAAAAATAAAAATCATTTAGTCATGATATTTATAATACGACTCAAATTGGTCAACCCAATCTAGTACTTTTCAGTAAGATGATGATCAAATCGTCCCTAAAACAACTTATCGGTATAGATTAATTGATTGCTTCAAAATGACTTGTGACAAAATCTCATCCTCGCAAATAGATTTTTTGTCTTTTGTTTCGAAAGGTTTCTTGTTATCTTATTCCATCTTGGCCGGCTTCTATATATGGTCCCATGTAATTTTGTGCCGTAAGAGCGTTGTTCCAATCTTATTCCCACCACATAGAAGTGGCATATTTTTAAGACAGCCGACCGGGAGATAAAGGGACAACGAAAGATGATTTCAATTCCCAGTTGAATGGCTTATGTATAAATTATATAATATGCAGTTAACATGTAATTCTGATACAGAGAAAGATGGAAGAGGAAAATAAGAAGGGAACTGTGTGTGTAACTGGTGGAACTGGATTCGTGGGATCTTGGCTTATTAAGAGGCTTCTTCAACATGGATATTTTGTTAATGCTACAATAAGGAGCGATCCAGGTAATTTGTTATTTTGCCTCTTCTAGTGGTGATGAGTTCAATATCTTCATTTTCTTAGATCTTAGTTATAAGTACTACCATGTTCATGTTCCAGCTTTCAACATAAAGTCGAGTAGTAATGGTTGAGGAGGTTGATTCACGTTATCTAAAAGGTTAAACTGTTTGATAAGATTGGACAAAACTCTTGAACCTAATCGAATCGAACCAGACCGGAATCAAACTGAATCGAATTGAGCAGTTTTTTTACAGTTAAATAATCGAACGGGTATTTGAACCGAAAATTGACGGGTTTGATTCGGTTCTTCATACTATACCAAAAATTGAAAAACCGAATAGAAACCCAATTTCCCTAATTTTTCATATTAAATAAGTCAAATTATTTTTAAAATAAGTTTGATAACTAATTAATTTAGACCAAACCCAAAATATGATTTTCTTATTTCTAATTTTTCGTCTAATCTAATCAAATTGACCTAAATTTTACCCAAATCTCTCATTCTACCGTAATGTTATTTTTTTAATCTTGAAGAAATCGAATTAGAAGCTCAATTGTGCATCTCTTCATTATTGTGAGCTAGCTATTGAAAGAGGATTTTAACCATTAAATTTATAAAGAACTAAGAAAATATAAAAATTTTAAACATAATTTAATTATTCAAATTAAAGGAACAAAGAGAGGTGCAAAAGATATCACGGATTGAACCATATTATTTTGTAAGAACTAATATCGAACATCTCATTAGTCAAATTAATTTAATGTTGTTTTAAATATTAAAAAATATAATTACTTTACAGCACTCGAAAATTGAATGAAATCGAACCAAACCGATTTCATAATTAAATTTGGACTCAACAGTTCCACTTATTAAATATCCAAAAATTCGGGTGGATTGGTTCGATTTTTCTATTGAACCGAATCGAACCAAATCATATCCAACCTTACTGTTTGAAGATGAAATAAACTTTTTTTTCTTTAGCTAAATTATATTTTCAATGTAATCACTTATGTGCCGTGTCATAAAAGGGTGGCGACAAAATTGAATTTGAGACCTCTAAATGTGTCAACACCCAATAATCATCATTGTCCCCATCAATCGATGACCTTTTGGGTAATATTGTTTGAATCAAGAATATCATACACTCTTAAGGCCTACATCCTTTAAGCCACATCAAACTTATAAGTGTGATGCAACGCAAAATAAGTAATTCAAGCGAAAATTTTAAGAACACAAATATGGAATCTACAAGAGAATGAAAAATAAACTCAAGATGTTTTATTAGTTCAAAAACTACCTAAAAATCAAGAATTATTTTTTTAAGGGTTTATATCAAAACCTTGGTTTGAAAACAGAAAAATTAAAAAAAAAAAATTCGAAATAAACTAAATGACAAAAATAGCACTAAAATTTAAAAAGCAATTTTCGGGTCATAAACAAACTCGGATGGCTAAACGTCATCATACGTCACAACAAAGGGTTGAGTTTAGTCCGGCTCATCGTTCTTTTTGTGAAAAGGTTTTATGAGCCCAAATCAGAGCTCAGACGCCAAATATGCAATTTATTATTTTTCCCTTTTCGGTCCAGTTCTTCAATTCACTCCGTCATCTGCTCTACATGAACCCTTATACCATCCTGTTCTATATCAACATGTTACCATGGAGACTTCACAACTTTGAGTGTTCACCTTCACCTAAATCTTCCGCCATCATGATTAATTATACACTAATTCGAATCCCGCTCAAATTCGAAAATTTATCCTGCACATGTCACATATCACATGGAGCTTCGTCTCAGAAAGATAACTTGTTAAATTGAGTAGTCAATCTCTTTGTAAATTCAAGACCATCATCTTTTCCAATTGATTTGAGACCTTGTTTCGTACATCTCCAACATTGAACAGCTGCCAACTCTTATATCATTTTTGACAGAAAAATCAAACTAAATCAGGAAAGATCCAGAAGTTGATTTCCTAATGAGTCATTTGAATAAGAGTTCAACAATTTTACTTCGAAAATGCCAAAGTAATCTAATGAAAACTTGTTTATGCATTTCCAGAGTGCAAAAGAGATGTTAGCTACCTTAGAAACCTGCCTGGTGCATCAGATAGGCTTCGAATATACAATGCAGATCTCGACAAACCAGACAGTTTCAATGCAGCAATCAATGGCTGCATCGGACTCTTTCACGTCGCTCATCCTTTGGACTTTGGGGACAAAGAATCTGAAGAAACAAAGACAAAAAGAGCTATTTCTGGTTTACTTGGAATTTTACAGGCATGCCTTGATTCAAAAACCGTGAGGCGAGTTGTCTATACTTCTAGTGCATCGGCTGTCCTTTTTAACGGTAATAGGGACTTAGACATAGTCGATGAGAGCTCGTGGACTGATGTTGAATTGATTAGAAGCTTGAGGATGTATGCAGGTTCTTATATTGTAGGCAAGACGTTAACAGAAAAAACAGCTCTAGAATTTGCTCAGAAACATGGATTGGATGTTGTGACCTTAGTTCCTACATGGATTCATGGTCCCTTCATTTGTAGTCATCTACCTGATACGGTGTGCATATCATTGGCCTTGATTTTCGGTATGTCTTTTGTTTAAGTTGCATTTTTCTTCACCAATCTAGAAAGAGTTATGTTATTCACCACCACTGGTGTTAAACACTAATTTAATAGCAATTACATGACATTAAATGATAGATTTACTTAAATGTAAAGTCATATAACTCATTTAATTGAATCTATAAAGTGTAGCCACCTAAACTAGTGCTCTGGCACCAGCATTATTCATCTAGAATGACAATTTTGTCATACACGTTGGATAAATTTCACTATTCTAGTCATTCATGTTGGACTATTTGATATGGGTATTCTCGTTCTCCGTTTTACTAGCATTTCCCAAAGTGACATCGCCACTCTCAAAATTTGAATCTTCATCTCTTTGATGATGAGCTTACATGTGGAGATGCAACTTTTGAGACGAGAGTTTACGCAAATGCAAAAAGGAAAAAGATAGTACCCATAACAAGTGGCAAGAAGCATCTCCACAAAAATGTCAGCATTTTTGTTGTAAAGCTCTATGTTACGGGTATGTGATTCCCTTTTTTCGGCCTTGGGTACTCCCATTATCCGAAGTGACGTCCCCCAACAAAGAGCTTCCCAAGAATCTACAACCGTGAAATTTAAACTTAGATTTGTTGCATATGAAGTTCCTAATCTGTGCAGGTAATGAGGATCATTACAAATACCTCGTCGATACCAGTTTTGTTCATGTAGATGATGTGGCTAGAGCTCACATTTTCCTATTTGAGTATCCTAATGCAAAAGGGAGATACATTTGCTCTGCTCTTGATGTTACAATAGACAAGTTGTCTGAATTTCTCTCTGCCAGATACCCTGAATATCAAATACCAAATGCAGGGTAAGTTTTCAATAATTTCTACATATTTCAAAGTACTTTTATGATAAATCCAGGTCTTTCGACTTTCCTGCAGCTCCTTAAAGGACATTGTGCCGGTAAAGTTCTCTGGCTTTTCGTCGAAGAAACTCCTGGAAGCTGGATTTAATTATCAGCATGGTCTTGAGGAAATATTTGATGGAGCAATTGAATCTTGCAAGCAGAAGGGTTTCATCTAGTCCAAGATTTATTATCTTCAATTATGCTGTTAAGTTTCCTTTTCAAGATTCTAGCAAAAATGATGCCATGGTTTATGACTATTTCATCATATTTTGAGCTTTCAAGCTTGACATGATAATAAAATGCAAGTTCTTCTGTTGGTTGAGGAATCTGATCAATTTTTCAACATTTTTTAAGATAACTTTTAAGTCCACCTACTATTATTACAGTCAAACTCGAGATCATATAAACACAGAGGGTCAAATAGGTTGACAGTCAGAGTAAAACTAAATCAAACTCATGACATCAATTATAATTACACACACATTTTGTTAAGCGTTGCTTGATTCGGTGGATCTAATAATTAATGCAACGGAGTGGTAAAAAATTATAAGCCTATTTCCCAACTAATCATACGCTTGAGCATGATAATATATAAATTTGAGGGCAATTATAGAAAGTTCAGAATTGATTGTAATCAAATGATCGAAACATCTTTTCTGTATTCGTGTGATTGAAGGCTGAATCGAAAAAATATCAACTCACTTTGTAGAGCGTAAAAGAAAATAGACTAAATTTTGTGCGAAATTCAAGATGAAATAAATGTTCGAAATATAAAGAGTGACATTGATTTTTCCCCTGCAAAATTTACCCATTTGAATTCTTTGGGTTTTTCATTATTTTTCTGTTTTCATATATATATTTTTTTACATACCATCATCGCACCTCATCAATATGTGTGTGTGTGTGTGTAGAGTACTTTGTAAAGTGACCATCTTCATGTATACTCGGAGGGATTAATATAGTTTACCAGAGCCACATGGAGCCTTTAATACCAGGGGCACCAAGTGGCACCATATAGGTGGGGGCACTTGTAAGGTTATTATGTAGAAAAAGTATATTAAAAGTGAACATCTTCATATATACTCCCTGAGATTAATTTTATTTATTAGGATCCATGTGGTCCTGTACATCCAGTAAGGTCTTAATTCGAGATATTTATGAAAATTCAGGCAAAAACATTATGGTGGATCCAAGTGGGGGCCAGTGGGATCCTAGGCCTCCTCTGAAATTTGATTAAAATTCTTTCACAATTTTTTTAAGTCTCTAATGTTATTATATATTTATATTTGTAATTTTTCCGACTTGTATATACGTGTTATGACTTCATCATTACAAAAAATATATGGGCTCGTTGGACATGTTATTCAAGGAGATGTTAACTTATTTTTATTTCTTCATTCAGCTCCTCTTTGGTCACAATTTTTTTAAAATCATTTTCAATAATATATTTCATGGGATTCGTAATTTTTATAAATTTTTTAGCTACATATTTCATAAACTTTTGTCAAAATTTACTAAAAAATAATTTTTAACTAAATCAAAGGAGTATTTAATATTGTTCAGTACTACTTAATTGGTCAGACAAAATATGATACATGAGTAGTACGAAGGAGTTGAAAGCAAATAAAAGAAAATAGATGAGAGTTAAGTAGAATGAAAAATAGAAGAAGTAGCTATCGCTGGAGCAAATTAGAATCTTGCTACACATACACTTTGCGTCTTTGCCACATGTCATTACTCTAAATTTCAAATAATTTTTTCATCCAATTAACATCATGACAACCATGTATGCATGTGTCAAGTGTCAAAATTATGCGTCCCCACAAACATAACGACCTTTTCCCAGTCTCTCTGTGCATTTCGTTCTCTCCATTTTGAATAAAGTCGATTAAACTCTAACGATTTCACGTCCGGTGCTGAGAAAAGTTCAATTAAGGCTATATTTGATTGCACCCCAATTCCAAGAAAAATGAAAACCAAATTCCATCTTTCCAATTTTTTTTGTTTGATTGACAAAATTTTTCCTAGAATTCGAATTCTACCTTTTATGCCACCTAAACTAATTTACATGTTTTCCTTGAATTCTAATTCTCACCAAAATGTTGAGAATTGGAATTCTCGGTCACTGTAGTACTTTGCTTTTTTCGATTTTTTTTTTAATTATTGGCAACGGAAACAAATTCTAAGAATTATTGTAAAAATATATTTTCCTTTAAATAGCAATTTTCATGTAAAATAAAGTCAAACGAACACCAAAAAATAGATAATTTTCTTGAATTTTTTTTTGCTTTTTTGTGTGTTGGCAATGGAAACAAATTTTATCCCCAATATCAGTAAAATCTATCCCTTTAATCAAAAAATTTCATGTAAAACAAAGCCAAATGGTGATCAGAAAATACTTTTATTTCAACATTTTCCACATAAAAAATTATCTCAATCAAACACAATAATTTACAATTCTCAAGAAAATAATTTCTAGACAATTCAATTCTCTGAAATTCATTTTCAATTCAATTCAATTTCATCTTTGTAATCAAACGGGCCCTTAAATGTCATTTTCGGATTCCAAGTCGTCCTCCCATGGTGGGGACTACAAGACTTTCAGAAAACCAGCCACAGTCGTAAGCACCATTCCGTCATTTCTTTGCCTCTCGCATCACATGAACAGAAAAATTGCAGTATCCTATTTTGATTTGTTTCGCATCCCCTTTTTTGTATTTTGCAATCTTCATCATATAGCTTACTGGATATGCATATCTGTGTAACCTTTCCTCTTTCGCTTCACATTGTTGAAAGAAATTGGATCAGCGATGATTACCGGTTTATGTTTGGAACAAGAGAGCGTTTATATCAAATGATGGTTAAATTTTAGAGATCATTATTCAGTACTATTTGTGAAATTCTAGTGAAGTATTTGATGGAGAGTGAAAAATTCCATAAATGGTTGGTGGGAAAGACAACATACACTTGGATATTGAGCATGGATTTTGTCCGTAAAAAAATTCAAATGGATCGCACTTTCATTTGTCTTTAATATTACCTTGTTATTCGATGTGAGACTTACCCGAAACATGCCCAGGATACCAATCTTGTAACGCATGTGCTTGTTCAAGTCTTAATTGGATTGAATTACTAGTTTTAGCTTAGTAAAAAGACTTAGTCAACCTTGTCCAGAGGAATAGCTCGTGCCTTATATGTTGTATATTTATTTACTCGTTAGTTGATGTGAGATTTACCCTTAACGGGCTAACCAGGAAACTGTTTGTAATATGACTTGGTTTAAGAGTTGGAGGTTAATTATGAATAGTGGAAAGTTATATTTACAAACGAAGATTGTCAATGCATGAATAATTCTAGTACTTTCCTCATGGAACCAGCGGGCCACCTCAGGGTGAATCAATGAGATCAGTTTGAACCAGTGTGCCCACTCAGGGTGGATCAATGAGATCAAGGACCACGACATGGGCACTGACACGATCCGTCCCAAATCACCTTAATGGACTTGACACGTGTCATGCGCTGATGATAGATACCAACTAAATACCTAACCCACCACCAAGACAACTTTGACTTGCTTGACTGAAAAATATTTTTAACAGAATGTTGACAGATTTTCTCCTGAAATACGAACTAAAACCACCTGAACAATAACCAATTTTCCTCAAATCAATACCTATAATATAAATCAGGGTATGCCAGTCCCTCAAAATACAAACTATTCAAATAAAATGCTGGAAAATCAATATTTACTTGCTTTACAACCAACAATCCTCAAATATAATAAAAATACCAAATACCTAATGAGCTCATAATGAACCTTTCTGATTTAAGCTACATGCATCCCAAAAGAACATCTAATGTATAATCTGATAAAGGATGTATACAACCTATGATGCGTGGCTCAATTCGGTGGTTCGACAGGCTTCAAAAGTGCTCAAATCATATGCTTTCTGTCTGATAAAGAAAAAGGTGAAAATATATTTATGAGCTTAAAGCTCAATGAGTGGATAATTTACAAATAAACATATTTTTCTTTTATGCATATATTCTGAAAATTCTTGCTCCATCAAAACCTTGAGAAATTCTGAAATCTAGTAACACTTTTAAAAACTTAACGTAATTTCATTATAAAATTCTTTGTTCTTAATTTTAGATAAGCAACTTTAAAGTATAATGACATAAATAATCTGACATTCATGATAATTTATGAAATATTGCTGCTACTCAATACTATAAGTTGAAAGCTTTATTCTGCATACTGAATTAATTGAATTCTATAATCTGAAAATTGATAAATTGTAGAAATACTGAAAAATCACACCAAAAAGGTACTCAATGAATAGCCTTACTCATGTACAGAGTAATCTCGATGTATAATGCAAATTCATTCAAATCTGATATTTGATAGTCTGGTCATACGTACGGAAAGCTGTCCCAAAGGCTAATTACCCTAGTACACGGTCCAAAGCCTATGTGTGTACGAGAGTGGGTCCCAAAGACCTCTGATAATTTGGTCATACACTATGGAAACACATTCACAATAGTGCATAGCGGGTAAAATCACCATAACTAGTCATACACTATGAAAATACATTCACACCAATGCAGACTGGGGTAAAATTACCTGGATACTTCTTGGTGGTTTTTAGAAATAACTTTAACTATATTGAAACATGTAATACGAATAGAACATACTACTAAAATGATTTAATTGAACTGAATCAAACATTAAAAAGAACTAATTATAAAATCAATTTTATTCTGAAAATCATGCTATCAACTTAACTTTATAAAATAAGTAACTTCAAAATTTAATGAATACTTGGCAGACTGGGGTAAAATTACCTGGATACTTCTTGGTGGTTTTTAGAAATAACTTTAACTATATTGAAACATGTAATACGAATAGAACATACTACTAAAATGATTTAATTGAACTGAATCAAACATTAAAAAGAACTAATTATAAAATCAATTTTATTCTGAAAATCATGCTATCAACTTAACTTTATAAAATAAGTAACTTCAAAATTTAATGAATACTTGTTTCTAAAAATTAAGTTTTATCCACACACCAAGTAATAGTCGACCATGGTTTCAATCTTCTCGTCACCGCTTCAACTTCAATTATCAAGTATGATGTTACGCATTCGTTCTAGTAAATCATATTCCCTTACAAAGATGCCTTGAGTATTTTCCTACCATTTGAAATATTAATTTACCAATGAGAACACGATATATTTTATTTTCAACCTCGTAATCCTAATTAAGGTCACTAACAACATATACTCCTTTATATAAATTATTTTAACACCAAAACTCCAAATATTTAACATTTAATTTGGTTTCAATACTAGAAATCCAAGAAAATTAGATGATTGACAAAACTAGCACTATAACTCCAAAATATTGAAAACTAGTACCAATGTCTATATATTAAATTCTGTCACCAAAAATATTGACAAAACTAGCACTTTTCGGGGCTGGATTTCAAAAGCAGCACCTATGTAGGATTTGTCCAAAAATTGCTTATAATTATTGCTTAAAAATGGAGAAATCAACCCCATTTCCATAATCTAAGTGTTTAACATCATATAATCCAAAGAAAATCAAAGAATAAACATCTATTTCATAAACCCATTTTCAAAGTTTCCCTCCTTTTCTTTTCTTTCTTTTATTTTTTCAACACCAATCTTTCAATACATATTTCTTTAACATATTCATGTTTACTATCCCAAATAAATGTCAATAATCTCTAATTCTAGCTAACTTCGAATATAACCAAAATTTCCATAAACCCTAAAAGAAAACTTAACTCAATATACTTACACTTACCTCTCAAAATCAAATGAGAAATTGTAGAAATGGAGCACCCAAGAATTGAAAACTCATTTCTTCTTCTTTTCCTCTTCCTTTTCTTCTTCTCTTTTTTCTTCATTTTTTTTTCCTTCATGTTCCTCGATTCTTCTCAGTTTCTCCCAAGGAAATGAAAGAAAATGGGTCTTACTTCCATTTAACAATTGGACAAAATGAAATTATCAATAATTAAGCCCTCAACTTTGCCATAGTTTGCAATTAAACCCTTATGTTTCCATTTAATTTAAAACTTACCAATTTGTTCTTATACTCACAAATTAGCCTCAACAAGTACCACTTGTTTATACAAGTTCCCATGAATTTATTTGTTCAACTTAAGTCCTTATTGACTTTGACTTTAGTAAGTATTGATGTTTCTAGCAATGTGATAACACCAAAATTCCTAAATTCAATCTCCAATATAACCAACTCTAATTCGTGTTTTAATCATGCCTCTACAACAATCCATAGTACAATCCATAATTTATAAGTTTACTACAAAACACTTTCTTATCTCTAAAATAATCCATTATCATATATCAAACCCTCATCAGCTTTATATAAAAAAACAATTATTTCCTCAGAATGTAATGTGATAGTAAAACTCCATATATTTCCAAACCCACATAATTTGGTGCTTTCTTTCTATGAAGAGACAATAATATCATTTAATCAATGATCTACAATCTTATTCCATAAAGAGAACATTGACTTATTACCATCGCATAAGCCTCTTTGTATATTAAATAAGGGCCTTAAATTAAGATATGTAACCAAAGGATACCATTCCACAATTGGGTAAAATTTACATAAATGCACAAACAATTTATTCTGCAATAAGTAGTCTTTGTGAAGTCTATCCATATCTTTCTCACATCTCTTATAATCATGTAACCCATAATTAATCAAAATCATCGGAGCTAGATGAATGTCAATTTTCTCAATGCATAACATATATAATAACACATTATTCTCTACTGATCAATATTCTGTATAATGTCATCATTTATCCTTCATGAGATTTTATCATATATATAGATATAGGTCACCGTAATTTTTATCATCCTCCCATATAAGTGGCTGCAAATCACTACAATCTTCGATGATGCTAATTATCGTTTAGATTCCCAAGATAATTAAGATTTCACTATGATTATGATCAATTACACATAATATCACTTCCTTTATTTATCTTGTAAATTATAACTAGAGATTTTCCTATACCTTTATGAAAAAAATGTTTCATATAATCTCACATATAATTCAATACTTAGGTAACTGTGTTCTCCATTCCTTCGAATGTATATAGATAGATAACCTACGAAATCCTTAAAACTCTAATTCCAAACTAATACTGTTCACTATTGCACTCTTATTGAGTACTAGGTTACATACACCACTATACCAACCCAACAACTTATGACATTGTCAACAATTAAATTCTTGCAACTGATATACTTACATACTAGTTATTTCTGAATCTGTAAGAAATATTTTCTCCCATTTTTCATTCATCATAACTTACTTTCATACACCCAAATTGAGTAATTAAACCCTTAATATTTCCTTCAATAGTAGTTGATACTTGATTGTTCCTGAATCAACCAAGGGAAAAACCATAGTCACATTAATTTACTCAAAATCGCTAGGTAAAACATATTTAATAACACCATTTTCATCATGAATTGACATTCCATATGGTCTCATTATTTCTGTCATGAACAAAATTTCTTAACATATCTCCACATGTTGATTTTCTAATACATGCATCTTCCACCATATACTAAATATGATTACAAATTCCTACAATAATTCTCATAATACCACAATCATTTAGATTTACAAAACTATCACGATTTTACCTCGTAATGCCACCAACTATACATATATCAACATTAGACAATACTTATCATCCAAGGCATCTGCAAGACATTTCCTCTAATAGTCATAAAAGAAACTCATAACCCAATAAATCTCATTACTAAGAAAAATTATACTCTTTACTTAATTGCCCGCTGGACATATAGCGCAATTATTGACATATTAGAGAAAATATAACATAGCGCCAAAATGACGACTCTAACAACTCTCATTACAATTGGATAATTCTCAATAATTTCCTCATACTTATTATGCTCAAATCAATAAAGTTCCTTCTTATTTTCTTAGCTGCCATATCCTCGTTATTATGGCCAATATGAGTTGCAAATAGCACATTGGAGCTTGTGAGTTCTACCACCACGCCACGACTAACAATCTCAATGACATGCTATTTTGAGAAAAAAATCCGTAAATTACTCGAGCTTAACAACCATTGAACCTAGCTTTGATACCAATTGACACGACCTGTCCCAAATCACCTTAATGGACTCGACACGTGTCATGCGCCGATGGTAGATACCAGCTAAATGCTAGACCCACTACCAAGGTAACTTTGACTTGCTTGATTGAAAAATATTTTTAACTGAATTTTGACAGAGTTTCTCCTGAAATACGAACTAGAACCACCTGAACGATAACCAGTTTTCCTCAAATCAATACCTATAATATAAATCAGGGTACGCCAATCCCTCAAAACACAAACTATTCAAATAAAATGCTGAGAAATCAATATTTACTTGCTTTACAATCAACAATCCTCAAATATACTAAAGATACCAAATATCTAATGAGCTCATAATGAACGGTTCTGATTTAAGCTACATGTATCCCAAAAGAACACATAATGTATAATCTGATGAAGGATGTCATACAACCTATGACGCGTGACTCAATTCGGTGGTTCGACAGGCTTCAAAGGTGCTCAAATTATCTGCTTTCTCTATGATAAAGAAAAAGGTGAAAATTTATATATGAGCTTAAAACTCAGTGAGTGGATAATTTACAAATAAATATATTTTTCTTTTATGCATATATTCTGAAAATACTTGCTCCATCAAAACTTTGAGAAATTCTGAAATCTGGTAACACTTTTAAAACTAAACGTAATTTCATCATAAAATTTTTTGTTCTTAATTTTAGATAAGCAACTTTAAAGTATAATGACATAAATAATCTGACATTCATGATAATTTATGAAATATTGCTGATACTCAATACTATAAGTTGAAAGCTTTATTCTGCAAATTGAATTAATTGAATTCTATAATCTGAAAACTGATAAACTGTAGAAATACTGAAAAATTACACTAAAAAGGTACCCAATGAATAGCCTTACTCATGTACAGAGTAATCTCGATGTATAATGCAAAGTTATTCAAATATGATATTTGATAATCTGGTCATACGTACACAAAGTTGCCCCGAAGGCTAATCACCCTAGTACACGATCCAAAACCTATGTGTGTACGAGAGTGGGTCTCAAAGACCTCTGATAATCTGGTCATACACTATGGAAACACATTCACAATAGTACAGAGCGGGTAAAATTACCATAACTAGTCATACACTGTGAAAACACATTCACACCAGTGCAGACTGGGGTAAAATCACCTGGATACTTCTTGGTGGTTTTTAGAAATAACTTTAACTATACTGAAACAAGCAATACGAATAGAACATGCTACTAAAATGATATAACTGAACTGAATCAAATATTAAAAATAACTATTATAAAATCAATTTTATTCTGAAAATCATGCTATCAACTTAACTTTATAAAATAAGTAACTTCAAAATTTAATGAATACTTGTTTCTAAAAATTAAGTTTTATCCACACACCAAGTAATAGTCGACCATGGTTTCAATCTTCTCGTCACCGCTTCAACTTCAATTATCAAGTATGATATTACGCATTCGCTCTAGTAAATCATATTCCCTTACAAAGATGCCTTGAGTATTTTCCTGTCATTTGAAATATTAATTAACCAATGGGAACACTATATATTTTATTTTCAACCTCGTAATCCTAATTAAGGTCACTAACAACATATACTCCTTTATATAAATTATTTTAACACCAAAACTCCAAATATTTAACATTTAATTTGGTTTCAATACTAGAAATCCAAGAAAATTAGATGATTGACAAAACTAGCACTATAACTCCAAAATATTGAAAACTAGTACCAATGTCTATATATTAAATTCTGTCACCAAAAATATTGACAAAACTAGCACTTTTCGGGGCTGGATTTCAAAAGCAGCACCTATGTAGGATTTGTCCAAAAATTGCTTATAATTATTGCTTAAAAATGGAGAAATCAACCCCATTTCCATAATCTAAGTGTTTAACATCATATAATCCAAAGAAAATCAAAGAATAAACATCTATTTCATAAACCCATTTTCAAAGTTTCCCTCCTTTTCTTTTCTTTCTTTTATTTTTTCAACACCAATCTTTCAATACATATTACTTTAACATATTCATGTTTACTACCCCCAAACAAATGTCAATAACCTCTAATTCTAGCTAACTTTGAATATAACCAAAATTTCCATAAACCCTAAAAGCAAACTTAACTCAATATACTTACACTTACCTCTCAAAATCAAATGAGAAATTGTAGAAATGGAGCACCCAAGAATTGAAAACCCACTTCTTCTTTTCCTTTTCCTTTTCTTCTTCTCTTTTTGCTTCATATTTTTTTTCCTTCCATGTTCCTCGATTCTTCTCGGTTTCTCCCAAGGAAATGAAAGAAAATGGGTCTTACTTCCATTTAACAATTGGACAAAATGAAATTATCAATAATTAAGCCCTCAACTTTGCCATAGTTTGCAATTAAACCCTTATGTTTCCATTTAATTTAAAACTCACCATTTTGTTCTTATACTCACAAATTAGCCTCAACAAGTACCACTTGTTTATACAAGTTCCCATGAATTTATTTGTTCAACTTAAGTCCTTATTGACTTTGACTTTGACTAAAAAAATGAGGGGTGGGACAGGCACGATCTCGATCATCTGATGATGGATATTCAAGGTATAAACACCTAGCATTCTGCGGTTGTCTAGTTAGGATGCACACGATTTTGTTATCCATTTAAGTTCATCCTTCAGTTTAATGGTTTGGTATGCTTTATTTATGGAGTTTCATTCACATAAGCAAAAGCATTATATAACCTATAGACAGTGCCGGCCCTGACTGTAGGCGGATAAGCGATCGTCTAAGGCCTCACTTCAGTGAGGGTCCCAAAAAAATTATTAATTTATTTTACATGTATTTTTACATATATATAAGATCTCATATTTAAAATTGGTCTAAGACCCCCAAAATCTTAGAACCGACCTTGCCTATAGACAAACAAAATTTACCATTGATAACATCTATAAGCTTTTCTTTTGCTCTTTCGTCGAGAGAATATCAACCGCAATCCCGACATCTTTGACTGGAATTTTCAAGTACGTAAAACTCTTCTGATATTGTGTTTTCAGTGACTCAGTCTTGAGAAATATATGTAATGATTTTAAGAAGATGGGACAACGCATTTTTGTGTTCATAATTGGTGGGGCAACTAGATCTGTGGGACCTCTCTTTTTTATTCATCAGCTACTATTCACCTTTTGCAGATTACTTACATTCACTTGTTTCGTGCTCAGCTAAGGGTTTTGTTGTTTCTTGAGGTTGAAGTTACTCCTTCGAAAATAATTCGACAGAATCACCTGAATGTAAGAATTGATCAACAGGATCCAAAATTGTAATTCGAGTCCACCGACTTCACGATATTTCCTTAAAACGAATTTATTGCCTTCAATGGTGCTAAAGGCGTCCAACAATCGTTTCCCAGGATAGAACGAATTTTCGTCTCCTACGGAAGTAGCACTGCAATCTGCAGGAGTTCCAACGAACTCAACGAAGTGTGTTTTACTTCGAGACAATATCAGAACGAGAGTGAGGGAAATGAGATTCAAAGCACAGAAAGTTTGCAATGAAAATGGTGTAAATTTTCTGGTAGAGAGGCTAACTATTTATAGACTTGTTCGTGGCCATTCAAACAGTCATCACCTTTCAGACAAGCCTCAAAAATCTGAACAGACATGCTGTTCTTAAAAGTCATGTCTGTTAAGTCGGTTAACAGTCGACTGTTTGGTTGGTAAACAGTCGACTGTTAAAAGAAAATAAAACACTCGGAATAAGCCAAAATTTAAATTTCATAATGTACCCAAGAATTTGATTATTTACAATTTGGCCCAAAATTTTAAATAAATTTTGTCCAAAAAGTTAATATAGTGTAAAGGTCCACCCGCACCCGCATCGAACCAGACCAGACTCGGACACGAGCACGTGCTCGTGCCGTGCCGAGCCGAGCCAGCAGGTTGGATGGACGGCGGCGGCAGCGACGACGCACGTATGTGGGTTTATGACCGAACCCAATAGGATATAGATCTTCCCCTTTCCAAAGACTATTGGTACCCCTTGGGGCCCAAACCCAATTCCAAACTTCCACCTTATAAACCACACCAAAGTTTCCTAACTTTCCTATGTGGGATAAGTGTTTGAAAAATCAAATTTTTCCATAATCCTTAGTTTATGTGGGTTACTTTAACACTTAATATTTCACTCAATTTTAAATGGTTTTCGATAAATAAATATATCACGTTAATCATCTCGTCGAGGAGAATGTGAATATGCTAGGTCCCGTATTAATTAAAAGGTGGGTCCCACTGAAATTTGGGTTCAAAGTTGACCCATTTCATAACCATTTTTTCCAACAGTCCCCCACATGAATGAAATATGTTGGCCTTATTCCAAACGATAACATCTTATATGTTTTTCAAAGAAAAAATTGAAGAAGACTACATCGGGATAAGTAGTCAATGACTTTGAACTTTTCCTAGTAAAATCTATCGAATTTCCTTAGCCAATCAGTAGCAAATTGCTTTGAACAGTCAACCGTTTTAACATCCATTTGATGTATATCCAAACCATTCAATGCTGCTATTGCAATAAGCATATGTATGGATGTGATTCTTGTCACAGGAGAATAGGTATCAAAATAATCAAGACCTTTTTGCTTGTAGCCTTTAGCGACAAGTTTTGCTTTATATTTGTCAATTGATCCATCTGCTTTCATTTTCCTTTTGAAAATTCATTTACATCCCAAAGGCTTATTACCGGGAGGGAGGTCTACTAATTCCTAAGTATGATTTTGTAGTACGGATTCAATTTCACTATGAACAGCTTCTTTCCAATATGAAGTTTCGGTTGATGACATAGCCTCCTTAAAACTTTGAGGTTCATTTTTAACAAATATGTTAGAAAATCAGGCCCAAAAGAGGTTGACGTCCTAGCCCTCTTAATTCGTCTAGGTTGTTTATTTATAGATTCTTGATCTATAGTCTCTTCGTTTTCAAGAAATCTCTTTTGTGAATTTGATTCATCTTGCATGTTATAAGGAAAAGTATTTTTGAAAAATGTAGCATCCCTTGATTTAATAATTGTATTAACATGTATATTAGGTATTTCAGACTTATATACCATAAATCTGTACGCATTACTATGGTAGGCATAACCAATGAATACACAATCAATGGTTTTAGGTCCTATCTTAACCTAAAAATCTGTACGCATTACTATGGTAGGCATAACCAATGAATACACAATCAATGGTTTTAGGTCTTATCTTAACCTTTTTAGGTTTAGGAACTACTACCTTAGCCAAACATCCCCATACCTTCAAGTATTTATAATTAGGTTTGTGACCTTTCCATACTTCATAAGGTATCTTTTGCGTTTTTCGATGTGGTAGTTTGTTAAGAATATAGTTGGCAGAAAGCAAGGCTTCCCCTCACAAGTTCTGCGGTAATCCAGAATCAATGTTCAATTCTTGCGTTTAACAATACCATTAGATTGAGGAGAATAAGGCGCGGTAGTTTGATGAATAATTCCGTGTTCCGAACAGAATTTCTCAAATGATAAATCATATTCACCACCTCTATCACTTCTTATGGCCTTAATCTTTTCGCTAAGTTGATTTTCAACTTTTAACTTGTAGTGTTTAAATACTTCAATTGTTTCGTCTTTACGTTTGAGCAAATACACATAGGAATATCAAGTACAAGCATCTATAAAAGTGATAAAGTACATATTACCTCCCCTAGTTTGAACAAATTTTAAATCACATATGTCGGTGTGAATTAAATCTAGAGGTTCAGTACTTCTTTCAACAGAACGAAAGGGTAGACGTGACATTTTGGCTTCTACACATATATCGCATTTGTGATTAAGATTTAAATCACACTTTGGTAATAAATCTAATTTGATTAGTCTACGCAAAGTGTTATAATTTGTATGTCCTAATCGTTGATGCCAAATGTTAAATGACTCAAGCAAGTAAGAAGAAGATGTATTCTTATTCATAATTGGAAGTACAACAGTCATTACATTCAACTTAAAGAGCCCCTCATTCAGGTAGCCTTTTCCTACAAACATTTGATTCTTTGAGAGTACAAATTTGTTCGAGACAAATACTAGCTTAAACCCGTTCTTCCTCAGTAGAGAACCAGATACCAAGTTTTTCCTAATATCGGGCACATGAAGAACATCATTCAGAGTGAGCTCTTTTCCACTTGTCATTTTCAACACTATCTTCCCACGTCCTTCTACCTTGGAAGATGACGAGTTTCCTATGTAGAGATGTTCATCATGATCCATTGCTTTGTAGGTAGAGAACATCCCGCGGTTTGAACATATGTGACGAGTAGCTCCAGTATCTACCCACCACTCCTTAGTGCTTCCAATTAAGTTGCATTCAGAGACGACCGCAGAAAGATTCATGTCTTGTACCTTATCAGTGAGGTTCTCATGTTCTGTTACATTGGCTTGGTTAGTTTTTCCCTTCACATTTTTTGGCTTTCGACAATCCTTGGATCAATGTCCTGCCTTGCCACAATTGTAACAGTTGCCTATAAACTTTTTAGCAGTTTTTGAAGAACCAATTTGTCCTTTCCCATTGTGCTTCCTCTTTTTGCTAGTCTTGAAGCCTCCTTCTACAATGTTAGCTTTTGACTCCATCAAATTAGATGCACCATTCCTTTTTTCAGTTTTGCGATTGTCTTCCTCTATTCTCAATCGGACAATGATATCTTCAAGTTTCATTTCCTTCCGCTTGTGCTTTAGGTAATTCTTGAAATCCTTCCATGAAGGTGGTAATTTCTCAACTAGTGCTGCAACTTGGAATGATTCACTTAGTTTCATTCCTTCGGCATGGATGTCGCTAAGTATGATCTGAAGTTCTTGAACTTGGGATATGACAGTCTTGTTGTCAACCATTTTATAATCCAAAAAACGATCGACAATGAATTTCTTCGTGCCGACATCTTCGATTTTGTACCTTATGTCCAAAGATTCCCACAGTTCTTTTGCGGACTTAGCATTGCAGTACACATTATATAATGTGTTATCCAGTCCATTAAGTACATAATTTCTGCATAAGAAATCAGAATGCTTCCATGCATCAACCGCAGCCAATTTTTCAACATCACTATCTTGCTCGGTATATGAAAGCGCGTCTTCTTTGAGAAATTTAGCCAGATTTAACGTCGTCAGATAAAAAAGTATTTTTTGTTGTCAACGCTTGAAATCTGACCAATTAAACTTTTCTAGTTTTTCCCCGGTCGTATTCGGGAGTGTAGTACCAGAAGTTACCATTTCTAAAACACAATCAGAAGATCAATGGTAAAAAGGAGTAGAAACAGAAACAAAATAATAATAGAAAAAATTCATTTTAAGATTGTTGTTTCTTGAGGTTGAAGTTACTCCTTCGAAAATAATCCGACAGAATCACCTGAATGTAAGAATTGATCAACAGGATCCAAAATTGTAATTCGAGCCCACCGACTTCACGATGTTTCCTTAAAATGAATTTGCTGCCTTCAATGGTGCTAAAGGCGTATAGCAATCGTTTTCCAGAATAGAACGAATTTTCGTCTCCTACCGAAACAGCACTGCAATCTGCAGGAGTTCCAACAAAGTCAACGAAGTGTGTTTTACTTCGAGACAATATCAGAACGAGAGTGAGGGAAATGAGATTCAAAGCACAGAAAGTTTGCAATAAAAATGGTGTAAATTTTCTGGTAGAGAGGCTGGCTATTTATAGACTTGTTCGTGGCCATTCAAACAGTCATCACCTTTCAGACAAGTCTCAAAAATCCGAACAGACATGCTGTTCTTAAAAGTCGTGTCTGTTAAGTCGGTTAACAGTCGGCTATAAAAGAAAATAAAACATCCAGAATAAGCCAAAATTTAAATTTTATAATGTACTCAAGAATTTGATTATTTACAATTTGGCGTAAAATTTTAAATAAATTTTGTCCAAAAAGTTAATATAGTGTAAAGGTCCACCCGCACCCGCCATGTCGGCTGACGGCGTGCGCATGTGGTATTATGACCGAACCCAATAGGATATAAGTCTTCCCCCTTTCAAAGACTATTGGTACCCTTTGGGGTCCAAACCCAATTCCAAACTTATACCTTATAAATCACACCAAAGTTTCTTAGCTTTTCTATGTGGGATAAGTGTTTGGAAAATCAAATTCTTCCATAATCCTTAGTTTATGTGGGTTACTTTAACACTTAATATTTCATTCAATTTTAAATGGTTTTCGATAAATAAATACATCACGTTAATCATCTTGTCGAGTAGAACATAAATATGCTAGGTCCCGTATTAATTAAAAGGTGGGTCCCACTGAAATTTGGGCTCAAAATTGACCCATTTTATAACCATTTTTTCCAACAGGTTTGTCACAAGCTTACAGCAAAATTGAGGAGGGAAGTAAGTCCTTGGTTCAACAGTTCGACTAGCATTGAAGATCCACCTCAATATATCACGGCAATGTTACCTTATACTTACGCATCTTCTCCATTTCTCTTAATAATTTTTAGATAATATTGGTCTACTACTAGCTTCGAACTAGAAAAAAGTGTATTTTGGCCTTGTGTAGTAGTGTATCAAACTGGATTATCTTCCCACTTTGTTCTTGTCAACTGCCATTTCATACACGCAGATGACCAATTTGTCCTAAGTGCTTTGTTTCAGACAGAGCTCACATATATAGTGCCTTACATATTTATTTCTTCGTATCTGAATATTGAGTTCCACCCACTAGAGGCCTTTGTTTGGACTTGAACAGCCATCCACGAATTTTCTCTGTTTAATAACATTCCAGGTGAAAAGATGGGATCGATGGAAGTTCTCCGCTCACAGTGAAACTCTCTCACTTTATTGTCTCATTTTGTTGTACAGAATCTTAAGCTCTTGTCAGAAAATGAGCTTTCTGTCGATGGCATCAGAATTTAGAAGGTAGATTTCATCACATAATGCATAATTTTGCCCAAAACGAGCAGGTTTGTCTTAATTAACGCAGTTTGTGTTTTCCCCTGATTCGTGTATTTCTTTTATGTTCATAATTGTGTTAAGATTTGGGGTCAATCTTAATAAGTTTAACCTTATTAAGAGGAGTGATCCAAGATCTATTTAAGTTGGTCAATATTTCGGTATTTAACCGATATGAGATTTATTCCCTTAACATGCCCCCGTAAGATTGTAGCTCTTTTTGAATGGATCAATCTTGAAATCTGTGTGCTCATTTTTTAGACTTAATCGAATCGATTAGCTTGTTGGAACTTATTGGGCTCTGATACCATGTTAAGATTTGATGTTCATCTTAATAAGGTTAACTTTGTTAAGAGCAGTGACCCAAGATTTATTTAAATTGATCAATATTTCGGTATTTAATCGATGTGGGATTTATTCCCTTAACAAATTGTATTTCTGTGTATATATGTTTTGGATGTACAGGGTGCAATGTATATAAATATGGAACTGCCAAATGTCAGATCCATGGTTGGTTTCTGACTGTATAATGGATGAAACATGATTCTTTAGAAGAAGAGCGAGATCCTAAGGAAACTTATTGAAGTCCTATCACCTATGTATACTGCTGTGGAATTTAAGTTAAGAAAATATTGGGGTAGTTATTAGTTAATGACACCATTTTATCCAGGACATAGTGCAGTTTTCATGCATAATGTAATAGAGATTGAGTTTTTTCTTTTCTTTTCTGAGATCAAATATAGATTTTGCTGATTCTGTGTTATCAAGCAAATAGGAGGCATATTAACATCCATAGTAGGATAGTAATAGACCTGTTCTATTTGGAAGTGGAAACAGGAAAGCCTCCAATAATTTTGTAATTCAAATTAAATTATTGAATTTATGTTGAGAATTTGTTGTTCAAAATCAACAAATAGTGTGTATGGAATGAAAAGATGGGGAGTTGGCTGAAAAATGGGTCCAAGTTATTACCATGTGACAGCATGGTTATCTTGGCCATGCGACCGAGGCCACAGGGCCTCGGTTCACTTGAACCATGCGACCGCATGATACAATATTTTGGCCGTTGGAAACCATTTTCAAACGTTAGATGTTTGAATTTGGTGTCCTTTCACTTGATTTTTGGCACCATTTCACTCCCCTATTAGTGGCCTATATATAGTGTAACTATATTCAAGATTCATTCCAACTCTACAATCAAAAGATCAAATTATTGTTCTTCATCCATATTCATTTCCTATCGTGTTCTTCAAAGTTTTGGTGAAAAATACTTTGCGCTTTAGTATTTTCTACAACAAAACTTGTTATGATCTTTCAAACCATTTGTCGAAAAACCCTTAAATATTTCATAAACATCGGAGAGGGGGCAAATAGCATTTGAGGACAGCGATACTGTGTTCAAGCCTTCGAAATTGTTCTTGATAACATTAGTGATTTCTTCATCTCGTTGCTGCAATTTTTCTTGTGATTTCGTTCTTGTCTCTTCTCCATCACTTTCATATTTCCAATAATTTATGAACAATGATTTATGGAGTTTGTTATCTGATATTTGTGTAATAGAAGAGGAGATAGAAGAAAATGTTTTAGCAGTTCTTGCTCTTAGTAGGGGTATGTTTAAATGGCATTAGATTTGAAATATTTTATTATGTTTTTCTAACTTAATTGTTTCAATAATCACCCAACTTATACCATGGTCATGGTTTACTCTCTAAACTTTTCAAAGTGTTTCACAGCGCTCATTGAACTTTGTTCGTTTGCACACTCCATCCATCATCTTCAAAAATCTATTATCTTATTTGTTGTCATGGCTAACATAAATCTGATGTGTCAAGTTATGGTGATTAAAAAATTACAAATCAGCCAAATCATTGTTTCATCACTCATCCAACTTACACCAGGCCACAATTTACTCATCGGGCTTCAAAATACTTCCCAATGGTCACTCATCTTTGAGAGGTTGGATTCATTTTTATCTACAATGTGACTTTATGAGAATATTATGAAGTATGATATATTGTTATATCTTACGTTTTTGTGATGTAAATGAATTCTATATATTATCGATGGTTCATGAAATCTTGCTAATATTCTATAATTATAGTTGAATATTATATAATAACTGTAATTCAACACCTAGTAGCATTTTTAAAAGAATTGCAAGATAAATTGATAACAACAAAAACGTGAGTGTATGTAAATTACAACAATGGTTTTCAACCATTCGCCTTCATAGAAATTCTATTTTGTAGCATTTTCATCCCCAACATTTGAATAATTAGCGGGATTTTATCATTTCTTTATGCTAAAATGTTATTATATTGAGAATTCTGTCATTGTCTTTAAATAGTCAAAAAATAAAATACAAAACTCCTAACCCATTTGATTTTCCATGCAGAATATGATTATAAACTCAAATCGTTCACAGATTTCACAAAAAAATTACGTTCATCAATTTCAAATTCGGTCGATTTTCGATCTTTATCACTCCATCATTATACGTCCTCTTTTGATTGAATTTTCATTGAAGAACGTATTATGACTTTCGATATCTCTTTTTTATTCGTTTTTTTTTTTACATTTAATTAAAAAAGATATTATTTTTTGTGAAAAAATAACTCTTGCCAGACAAGATAATTTGCTCTTTTTTATGAACTCAAGTAAAAAAGGTTATTTCTTTCGAAAATAACTGAATTATTTGAACTTACAGAGAGAAAACAATTATTAATTTTATTACTTACGAATATATACTTATAATTATCAGGCAAATTTTTCTCCTGAAAGATTTGGATTGGAGAAGGCAGTCAAAATGAATACGCCTATTGTGGGGTTTCACAGCCACGACGTTAAAACATTTTTATTCATCTCTGAAAACCCGCACTAGCAGTGCCCGTCTAGCTCAGTCGGTAGAGCGCAAGGCTCTTAACCTTGTGGTCGTGGGTTCGAGCCCCACGGTGGGCGTTTTTAACATTTTTTGCATTCTCCAAAAAATGATTAATTGTCAACTCATGAAAACTTGTACTGCATAATCTGATGGATAAAAAAAAGAAACAAAATATTTTGGCATGTACAGGCTTCCAATATCTTTTATAGCAACTTCAGTTACTGTTTTAGAATTCGTTCTACATACTTGATTAATCGATCAATACAGAAAGTCATAATCACGTTAATAACCTTCGTATAGTCATTTTACGCTAACCCAATATCAAGAATTTGGTTTTAAAGTAGAAATCAAAATAATAGCCGTCCTCAGAAAACTTGCACATACAGTAAGTTTCAAGACTTGTTTTCACAGCATGGCTGTCTCCATGTTTTCCTCACATTCGCTTCCGTGTCTGGTGAATCGAACAAGAACAATTAGACAAGAAATGCGAAATATTATATGGTGAAGGCTTAAAGGGCTTCCTTTTCTAAGATAAAAATGAAAAAACGATCCCACCATTAGACATAATTCATAATTAATCACAATGATTCAGGGAATATTTTGCTAGTACCTTCTCGAAAACTTCCTTGTGGTATTGGTATCCCTGCAAAAAGCACAGTAAAGGGTATGAAATCAATGAAAGATGGGTTTAACAATCCAATTCGAGGTTATCTGTCCTATAAAAAGCATGTACTCGTGCTCAAAATATGGACAGACCTTGTCGGTTCCATAAATGTAATCACAGTAAGTAAATACTGAAGCAAAGTTGCTCTGGCAATTTCCTCCGACATAGTGGTGGTAATCATGGTAGATTGCTCCTCCATAAAATGGAATAAATTTCGAAGGACTCCAAGGGAACTCATACCTGCATCAAAACCCACATATTGCACTTGAACGAGTGTGTTCGAGACTGAGTTTGAACAAATGCGTCCCCTTTAGCTGCTCAAACTTTTCGACGAGTGAAAATAATCTTTAGAAAAAGGGATTTTGTTGAATACTTGTTGTATACATACCCACTGTGAATTTCAATGGCTTCCATTTGCCTCAGAATAAACCATAGCCAGAAGGTGATCATGTGTCCCGGAACAATGACTGGACCTGATAATGAGGGGAAACCGAGGATTATTATTTCTGCCCAATGTGCATAGGGAGCTGCAAATCCAATTGGAGCATTGTATTCATGGTGAACTCTGTGGATTTTGGTGTAGACCCATTCATTGTGAAGCAACCTGTGTAGCCAGTAATTCGCGTAGTCCTCGACAAGAAAGTACACCAATATCTGCCAAAACATCTCCCAACCAGATGGCAATGGCAAGCTTGTCCTTATTCCAATCATCTGGAATCATGATTATGTTCATATAGATCACACACATATATCTTCAAATGATCAATTAATTAATGGAAAATTAGAAAAGCATACCTCAATAAAAGGGTAAGAAAAGATTTGCAAAGGGCCAACAGCAACAACAAATGTAAGCAAAACTTTTCTGTAACAATCAAACATGCCGGATAAAGAATTCTTGATTCTGGGCTGAATCTTGAATTGATCAACCTTCTTGGAACGCACTAATTCAAGAAAAACAAATGGCAATGGGAACAATGTATAGAAGATGAACAAGAACAGTGTATTATGACAATACAGGATGTAATCGGGCTTCCCGGCCGAGTATTTGAACCATAATGTCTCTGCAATTGTTAGGTTTCTCCCAAGAAAAATCCCTGCTTCTTCAAGCGTTTGGAATGGCAACATTTTCTTGAATTATGTCTATGCGTCTCTCTCTCTCTCTCTCTCTCTCTCTCTCTCTCTCTCTCTCTAATATGTTTTAGAGAGAGAAAGGGAAGGAAGAAAAAGAAATGCAATGCAACGAAGCTTTGCTAGATATATATATCAGTTGCTAAAGGAACAATGGTTAAGCGAGTAAAGAGGGAATCCAATACCATTGGGATAAAACAATTCTTCTATTTCTACCTTTCTTATAGAGTAAATATTGAAGAAGGAATGGTTGTTTCGATTTCAATTTAAATGTTTGGTTAAAATATTTAATCTTTGAGCGTGTTCAATCTTGTATTTCATAAGCAGGTTATATCTGAATCTAGAGTAAGTTGGTCATCAAGTACTTTTCTTTATATTGAACATTCGATTGAAATTTTTGTTTTGCGCCTATTTGATTTTGATTTCAATCGCATTAGTATCAAAATTTGATATTTTGAAAGTTGAGAATTGTGTTAAAATAGGGCTAAATCCATCCATGGCCACCCAATTTTCCAGTTTGATTTTGTTTCACCATGATCATCGAACTTTATACTTAATGTCACATTGGCCAATCAAATTTGATTTTATTTTACCATGGCCACCCAAATTTTTCATCATTTTCACTAATTTTATGGAAGGCATTGTCGTCTACTCGCCCATAATATATTATTTGTCCAGAGAACTGCACCTCCCTCAATTGATACAGGGACCAAAGAAATGACTGGCGTAGGAATATCTGCACGCTGATCATCCAGTAGCTCCAATATGGTTGTGAAATTGTCAAAACTACTGTTCTTAGTAGCTTTTCCCAACATCTATCTCAACTTCACATCTAGAATATATTCCATCATGTAAAAAATTAAATGTTAGAATATTGAACAAGAGATAATGAAATAAATCATAATCTCAAAAAATTAAGCGAATCGAATTGTAACTACTATACACAATACATACATTCATTTGACACTGGTACTAATAAAAAAAATTAAATGAATTACATAAAAATTTAAAAAAAAGTTATTAAAAAGTTTTTTAATTAAAATTGAAAAAAATAAAAATAAATATTATTTAATTAAAATTGAAAAAATTACAGAATTAAAAAACAAAGGAAAAAACAAATTAGGAAAAAAAAAGGAAAATGAAAAAGGAAAAGAAAAAGGTGAAAAAAAGTAAAGAAAAGGGCCAAACAGTCAGCCCATTTAACCCCCTTTTTTTTTTTTTTTTTTTTTTTAAAAAAAAAAGCTTTAAAAATTTTTTTTTTTTTTTTTTTAAGTAAAAAAGCCTTAACAGTCAGTCGGTAATTATCGCCGAAAATGTTCCAGTGACTAAACAACCATTTTTTTTTTTTTTTTTTGCCTAAATTCATCTAAAACCAATAATTGACATAAATGACAAAGAATAAACTTTATAAATAACAATTTAAATCACAAACTCTACAAGATATGCAAAATAAAACATTATTCTCTTAATCCGATAAAAAACTAACCTTGTTGAAGATAATAACAAAATTTTGTGATTTACCTTGGGTAGACTGTAGGAATGGTAACTTTCAACCAATTCTGACTCATACAACCAATTATGTGAAAGTTTCTTCTTTTTTTGGGTATTTTCTCTCCTCTCTCTCTTCTGAAGACAAGGGTAAAATTGACAACTTGTAATTTATATATCTATTTCAATTTTTAACCTTTTCTAAATAGTCAAAGGCCATTTTGAAAATATGATCGGGTCAACCGGCCATTTTTATATATGGGAAGAGTTCACAAATCAGGACTTTAAGTATGCATAATTCAAAATTCAGGTTGCAAGTTTCATTAATGCAAAAATCAGATTTTAACTAATTAATTAAAAATATTTATTAAATAATGACAATAAAGTCACAATTATATGATTAATAGTCACAGATTCACAATTATAGGCCACAGATTTATTTACTGGTCACAAATTTGTTCGATGTCACAAATCAAGATTTTGTAGGTCACATATTATTTCGAGGTCACAGATAAAAAAATTATAGGTCACAAATCAAAAAATTATAGGTCACGTTATAGGTCACATGTCACATATTTTCAAATTTGATGGTTACAGATTAATTTTTTAGTCACAAAATGATCGACTTTTAAAGTCACAAATTAATTGTCAGTCACCAAACAATTGGTCATAGGTCAAATAGTCGGTCACCACAAACTCCACTGTCACCATCGCTACTTACAACCACCCTCACCCTGTCGCCACCACCACCAACAAAATCGTTGACACACCAAACACACCAAAAAAGACCACCTCACCTTTTGAACCACACCATCACCGCCTGAACCAAACCACCAACAAGAACTACCACCGTGTCGTTCACCACACCACCACAACCTCCAATAAAACACCAACCAAAAAACGTCGACCACTAAGCTACTGGACCGCACCACACCACCACACAACCAAGATGAATGGGAAAATCGACCACCACCACACAACTAACAACACGAACGGCAGTGCACAACTCACCACCACACAACCAAGACGAATGAGAAAATCAACCACCATCGCACAACCAACAACACAAACGGCAGTGCACCACCACACAACCAAGACGAACAGCTCCCACCGCCAGCACATCAGAAAACTACCACCCACAGATCAGAATATTCACCCTAGGTATCTTCTATGCCCTACGCATCCTCTCCAAAGGTGCCCTAAATAAGCTTCGCTCCAAGGCTTGCCCTAACACCCAGATCCACCGCCACTTCATTTAGCTTCAGGGGGCTCTTTTCTATCACGAACCCGATCGCTCAAAACAAATCCATAGCATTCAACCTCGCTAAATTCGTCGCCAACCAGGCCGAGTGATGCTATTGCTTCCCATCATCGCCCCACCGACGGTGGCAATGGAAACCCCGGTGGAGATTTGATAGACTGATTGGAGAGAATTTTGAGAGAGAATGCAGAGAGAGAGAAGATAAGGAAAAAATGATTAAGGTTGTGTTTGCGCTGGGTCGGGTGGGTAAATAATGAAAACCTGATTTTTGCTTAAATAAACTACCCACCTGAATTTTGAATTAGAATATTTAAATACCTGCGTTTACATAATTTCCTCTTTATATATTTCCTTCTACCACCACACCCTACTGTGTTATATGGGCTAACTTGATCCAGCCCATGATGAAGATTGGCCCAAGCCAATATATTATTTAATTAGCAATAAATATTCTTTAGACTTTTGAAATAGTATTTTAAAAATTTAAACACGTTTTGAATACTAAATTTTTTCTAGCAATAAGTTTTTTTAGACTTTTCATCCTATCAATAAATTTGGCGATAAAAAATCTACTATACTAACTACCAATTTCAAGAAAATCTACTAGCAATTATGCAACGACTTTACCGTTTAGCAATAAAATGCCTTTGAGTATTTTACCCTTCAACAAATTAATTTCTTTAGACCTTTTTTTTTTCAACTCTCTCTTAGCTTTTTTCTTAACCTTTTAAAGAAAGTTTAAAACTGTGGCCAAAAAGATTTTCATCATGTTTAAAAAGGCTTTAACAAACTCCCACTATTGAGACACAAATTAGCCAAAAGATAAAGTAATCATCTGAGTTAAGTTGGCTAATTTGTGTCCCAATAGTGGAGTTTGTTAAAACATTTTTAAACATGATGAAAATTTTTTTGGCTACAGTTGTAAGCCTTCTTTAAAAGGTCAAGAAAAAAACAAAGAGAGAGTAAAAAAATAGGCCTGAAGAAATTAATTTGTTGAACGGTAAAATACTCAAAGACCATTACAAACATATCGTTTTAAAGTTCTAATATTTTATGCTTTTAGATTACACTACCTTACTTACTCATTTATTAGAAAGTTTTAACGAATATATTAATACTTGTTTAGAAAACAGAGAAATAGGAAGATCAGTCATTGTAGGAAGTCATATTTTATCCGCTCTAGATAGAAATAGAAGTGACTCTTCTTTACAGATCAAGAAGTAAATCACTGAACTCTCTATCTCTTAGTGTCAGAGTTTCTTCATAAAAGATCCTAAAAATTGTAAAGAAAGACAACAACGAGCAAAGATTATAAGAGAAAATAATAAAAAAAATTTCATTAGAACTAGTTAGACATTTTTAGCAATTGAACTTTAGTTGCAAAGATAATATGAATTGGTGTAGAATTTTTTTCAAACTTTTCAAACATATTAAAAATCTTTTGAAAGACCTTGTCTTCAAAAATTAATTGCTAGTAGACTTTCTTGAAATTGGTAGTTAGTATAGTAGACTTTTTATTGCCAAATTTATTCATAGGAATAAAAATCTTAAAAATATTTATTGCTATGAAAAATTTAGTATTCAAAACGTGTGTAAATTTTTGAAAGACTATTTCAAAAGTCTAAAAAACATTTATTGCTAGGAAAAATTTAGTATTTAAAATATGTGTAAATTTTTGAAAGATTTTTTCTTCATATTGGTATCAGAGCCTAGAACAGTCAAAAATTATATAATTTATGAAAAGAATTGAGTATTTAAATTTAAAAATTTTAGGAAACTATAAAAAAAAAGATAACTTAGAAACAGCTTCTATAATCTGTAATTTTGATAATAAGTTTAGACATACTTTACATAATGAAGATAAACAGTTAAATAGTATCGTAGATTTACTTGTAAATTTAGAAGAAATTTTATAAAGGAACAATTCAAATGAATAGTAGAAACTTTATTAGAAAATATAAATAAAAATATAAAGATTTTAGAAACTAATCCAGAATATAATAAAAATCAAAATACTGAAATACTAAAAAGAAAATCTAATAATATAGGAGAAACGGAATCTAGTCCTAACTTAGAAAAATTGAAAAGCATAATTAAAGCATTAGAAAAAGAAAAGTGGACAGATAATAGACGAGTTAAATGATATAATAAATAAACAAGAAAAATTAGATTTAGATAAAACTAAAGAACTTAGTAAATTTAAGAAAACTAAGTGAATTTATACATAATGGATAAAGGAAAACAAATCATAGTCAGTAGTAGTAAATTATTAGGTAATCCTTTATTAAAAACATTAAGTAGAAAAATAGAA